CAGGGCCAGAATGTGTTTGTTCCCCACGCTCTCTGTTTGTAGTAGGATGGATACAGAGGACCTACCACGGATGTAATGCAAGGTTGTACACATGCAATTCTGTTTGTTTTTTTCTTTGCCAGGGAGGGTAAGAAAATACAGCAATAGCAGGTCTGAAACTTACAATTTCTTTAAATGACAGATGCAACGTTTTCTTTCTGAGAATTTAGCCTTGAGGACCTTATTCACTCTCCCTTTCAAACCTTTCAGATCACATCTCATCTGCCTCTGCTTTGTGTAATCAACCTCTTAATAATGGCTTGAGAAGCAGGCAGGGATAATTGGCACCCACTTCGTAGAAGAATAATTGTGAGTGTGAAAATAAATTGTATGGATTGTAATTGTTTTCCTTGCCTTTAATTCTTTTGCACGATATTAGTCCTTGTAGTACCTTAGGGAAGAATATAATATAAGATGGCCATTCTTGGTCAGACCGAAGTTCTCATCAAGCCACATGTCTGTCTTTTGTGGGGATTATTAAAAGGTATTTTGGAACAGTGATAAGAAAAAGTAAAGCCAGAGCAATCCTTTTCCCAGCACTTCTTTAGTTTCCAGCAATTAGTGTTTTGCAAAATTCCTAATCTAGGCTCTGTATGTATGTTATATTTCACCTGTATAGGTATGTTATATGATTAGCTGGCTATGTTGTGAAACCCCACAATTACTATCCTCACAGGTTCTATGGGGTAGAAGAGCGGTATATTATCTCCACATTATGGATTTTGAACTGAGGAGCAGAGAGACTTGAAATGCCACCATCTAAAAATAGATTAGAGCTGTTACAGTTCATTAGCACAATAAAAACTTTGGAACAAATTGATACCCAGACTGTCCTTAAAAATCCAACCTCTCTATAAACTTCCTATTATGATGCAACATGATGGGACAAGGGTGACTGCAACCCTGAAATTTTATTATAGTTCTGCGTTGCTTCACTTTCCCAGAAAATGCCAGCAACATGATCCTTTATATGACTTCAGTTACACACGGTTGCTTCCAGATGACTTTCAGACTCCAAGACCAGGTACCCCCAATTAAAGAAGGAAAGGTGTATGGACAGGTGTGATGATCACCAGAAATGTGCAGATTGTTTAAAAGGATTTTCAGGTTGTTGAAAATGTCAATAGCTCCTGAAACTATAAGATTATAATATTTAAAAAGGTAAATTTTATGTTAGAAGGACTTCGGAAAGATGGGGAAAATACACATCAGAAAGTCTAAGATGACAGTAGGCAGTACACAGGAAACATATTTTGTCACTTGAACTCCATTGCCTTGGTGCAGTCCTGTTAAAAGATACCTGAGGCCCAGCATGGATTTTATTCTCTGTCTGTTGTGCAGATGCCACACAAGTGCTTGGCTTCAGTGTGTGCCCTCCCTTAGTGAGTAGCTGGTACTAAACTTGGCAAAGGAGTGAGATGTGCCTCTTGTACTCTGCTCTTTTCACAAGCTTACACCCTTGTCTCCGCTTGAGCTTCATAGTTTGGGAACCTTATCACCTTATCTTCAAGTAGATGTTCCAGCTGGCCATACAGAACACAGCAAAGGGGTGTGTGTGGAGGGGGGGGAGGGGGGGGGATGGATGGATTTAGGGGGGAACTAGAGAGGAAGTGAGTGAATTGACCTACAGAATTAACTGGGATGATAGGCCAAAGCAGAAAGTTACTTTATTGCTACAGTCTTATCAGTGGTACTTTATCACTTGCATGGTGATTGAGTGACTGTAGGACCAAATGTGAGGCTGTCATTCTAAATTAAAGACGCTTGTTAAATTGGCATTTGTTAATGCTATCCCACCTTGCTTTATCTTCTTTTTTTTTTTTTTTTTTTTTTTAAAGTGAATATGTACTCATTATCACAAAGTTGTTGTACAATAGATACTACAAATGCTCTGCTTCAACAACAACAACAACAACAACAACAACAAAAACATACTTTTACAGCTATTTGGAAAATTCTTATTGTTGTTAATGGCTCATATGTTTGGTTAACTATGAGACGTCTGCTTTGGATACCTAGATATTTTACTGCAATCATAAATGATTAATAAAGATATATAATAAGCATTTTTAAGTACCTGAAAGTTCTTGCTAATGTAATAATACAGGCCTTTTAACTTTTAATATTTTTCATATTCTTTTCATCCAGAAAGCCAGTTACAGTACTAGCAATGTATTGGTTGTGTGCAACTGACAGCAGCTTTAATGACCTTGATATGAAGAAGGGCTTAAATAAATGTTATAGATGTTGAATAAATGGTAAAGATGCTTAGAAATACTTACAGATAATGCAGGATATAAACCAAGTTTTTTGAAAGCAGAAAAATGTTAGAAGATCAGATTTTGTTTTATTTTTTTCCATATCTGTATGTTCAGTTACATGAGTAAAACACATCAAAGAAAAATATGCATATGTATCAGTCTACTGATAGGGTTTTTCGTACCTGTTATTTTATGTATGTGTCTCCTCATAAAAACCACACTGCTGGGAGGAACATGAAGAAAAATAATGCCATTTATATTGCTGTAGACTGTAGGTAGAAAGACTACTTTTCTGTATTGGAATTTAGAGATGCTTTTGTAAAAGGCAACACTGGCTTGTAAATGACAAATACGCGCAACCTGGATCACAGCTGGTCACAAAGGCAGATCCATAGATTGTGCTAATGTTGGTGCTTCCCACTCTTTTTGCCACCTAGTTTGCTTAGGAGAGGAAAAGTGAATGTTTATGGTGAGATTTAAATCCTGATATACTTAATATCGTCCTCTTGGCATCTATGGAGAGAGAGTGCCAGGACAGGGAAACAAATTTGTCATCTCATTACCTTTTAATTTGTATTAGAAACACCTCTAAATAGTTGGCCTTCCAACGTAGCTCTTCCTTGTTATTTCTCAACAGCACAGCATATCGCATCGTTAAACATAAATTGCTCTTGGCTGGTTTTTCGAAGTGATTTGACAACATAGTTTGATTTTGCTCTAACATGATCTAGAAACTGTTTCCCAGTAGTGGGGCAAAAGGAATGTGAAGAAACTGTGGAATTCCTTGCAATTTGCTCCTTTCTTACAGTACCTATCGTGGCTTACTTAACTGTAGCAGTGTTTGAACCTAATAAAATTGCTTCGATGTGTTCAGTGATTACATGAATTGTATGGATTTCATACATTAGGTGAGACTTGGCGTAGAATGCTAACATTACGTTCTTTACAATAATGCAGTGAATCCCAATTTGGTTTTGATTGCAATAATCTGGAGTCAAATGTGCAAACCCTTGCTAATTTAAGTTGATTTTACCTTTATCGTTTTGCATATTACATAATCTAGAGCCACACAAACAAAAGCTTGTTTGGACTTACCGTGCTTTCCTTTTCAGAAAACAGAATTCTTTTTAATTAAAAACACTTTAAAAAAAAATCAGTATGTGTAATTGCTAACACCTGCTATGTGTTACTAACAGATGTTTCTTACTTACCTAAGGGAACTGTTATAATTACACTATAAGCTTATTGGAATGGCATTTAACCAAGATAGTTTAGGAACTTTAGGTGGTGACTTTGTGTTCTTTTATTAATCTTTCCTCATAAAAAAAAAAAAAAAAAAAAAAAAAAAAAATCCTTTAAGTGATGAGCTTTTATTTTTTTTTTAATTAATTAAAGGAGAAAAGAAGTCAACCTTCCTGACTCTCCTCCCCAACCTGTGTTCATCAAGCACAGGTAACCAGACTCAAGCTTTGGAGATTCAGTCTGTCCTTTCTCTTCTCCTTGGTCCATCACTAAGCATCAAGGAGGAGTTTGCGTCCAAGTGTAGCACTGCCTCAGTGTAGCACTGCCTCAGAAAGGCTTTACAGAAAGACTTTACAAATCCTGCTAATGGTGGGGTTTGAGGAACACAGGCTTGCTGTGTGATCTTGGGCAGCCCACTTAACCTCTGTGTCTCTGTGCTCTTGTCTGTGAAATAATGTGGTACTTGCCTCATGATGTGTCGGAGGCTCAAGTCAGAGAGATTGGCACAGGGCTTTGAGATCTTTACATTAAAGGTTGGTAATAATAGCTCTAAGTGTTGACCTGTGACTGGGAACTTGCAGCTTGGAAGCTGGCTTCCTCTGTGCCGTGGAGGTCTGCTGGGGCAGCAGCTCATGGGAAGCACTCTGGATTCCTGCATCTTCCAACTCGACTGCAAAGCAAGACTCTCAGTGTTCTCCCTCTGCATCTTCATTTATGAAACTAATCACACAATTACCTGCAGGCATGTGTTAAATATGACACTGGTCTCTGCAAAATAATGGGCCAATTGCAAACAATGAATAAAGAGAGGCAGCTCCATTTATAACTGCTGTTTCAACAGAGCTGTGTTGTAATCAAAGTGATCTGAGGGTGACTCATTAATTAATTGATGTTCTTTTTTATTATGTGCTATTGAGTTAATGAGTAATTTGTGCTAGATAACTCTCTGAACACACTGATTACGTGAGATATTTTCTGGGGCTTTCATACCGATGACATGCTGAATAGGTGGAAGATGGTATTTGCTTATGTATACTCATTATTAGCAGATTCAGGATGAATATAAATCAGCAGAAGGGCATTTTAAAAGGTATTAGATACATGCAACCCTTACTTTAAGGCTTTAAACAGATACTCTTCAGCTTTTAATGCCTTAAATAGTATTAAAATCACTTTCTTTATAATACTTCTATCACCCACAATTGGCAGCTTCTAGAAAGGGTGCCTACACAAAAGATTTTTACTGGGAGCATGTTTGTGCTAATGGCCTATTACCTTGCACATATTGTATTTTGGTTTCCTTTTGCAAGGTACTGAAGTGAACAGTAAACAGGTTTGGTCTGCATCATTGGACTGAAGTAGGAGAAATGTATTAAGTGAATATGTAATTGGCTTTTTTATCTAAAGTGGTATTTAAAAGAATAAAAACACTGTTCTTATATACAGTACACACTTTGCTTTCTGTAGTTTGAGTTGTTAAAGCTTTTGCTTTATTGAAACCACAACATCTCCAATGCCATAGGAGTTTTTTATTCATTAAACAACAAATGGCTAAATTGATAATTTAGTCTGACAACAGCAGCACAGTGGAAGCTTTCAGAAGAATCAGCTAAATGTATAAAATTATACCCAGCAATCACTACAGACCTTCATTTTTGACAAGATTTGTTCTAGGTACAGATGACTGTAAACTACCTACTGCTGAGAAAATTATAAGAAGCTGCTGTATATTATGTTGAAAAAAGCCTTTAAAGTACTTTGTCTGTACAGGCTAAAACCTACCAGAGTCCCTGTTTGTTTCTTTCCCCCACATTCTCCCTTTTCATTGACCACTTCTCAATCTATTTTTCTCAAGTCGGTTTATATGTAGGCAATTAAGAACATCTTGAGGGGGTGGAGGATGAATTTTATTTACATTACATGAGCATAAATTTGAGCATTTTGGGAGGGTCGTAGGAAGAGGTAAGATGATGTGCTTATAAAAGAAAACAAAGTAAGCAAGATAAAAAGTACAATTATGGAACAGATCAACTCTTAGCCCTGGTCATTGCTCCTGCAGAATCCAGGCTGTCTTGATTCTTCATCAATTGTGGCACATAACAGACACAGCAGGCTGTGGTTGGCAGAGCTTTCTACAATGGAAAATCAAGGTCTGATAATATGTACTTCTCCACATGGCTGAAAAAACAGCAGCTCAAGAGTAATAGTGAGTTGTGGTTGTGGTGGTTGTTTTTTTTTTGTGTGATTTTTTTTTTTTTTTTGGTCACTGGCTAAACTTAAGAGATCTGTAAAGACAGAGATAAAATACTTTAAAGATAGTAGATACAAGTGGAAACAATCTTGTCTGGCAAATAAGCATACACTGAACAATGGTCACTAGCAGAACATTTTGCTGTATACAGATAGAGCATGTTGACACACAGTGATGGAGAAGGAAACCTAAGGTAAATAAAAATAAAAGGAACCCAAAGGAATGGTCTAGGCTTTAGTCAAGAAGATCAATAAGGTGGCCTGGCAGATAATCTGTCTTTTAATATTTTCTTATGATATTATATTGCAGTGGTGTTGTAAATGTTTCCATTAAATAATTAACCCCCAGTTATTAAAAGCTAGGCAACATGGAAGATTGAAATATCAGGAAATGTGTAATCGATCTTTGACCTACCTTACATTTACATTTAATTTGTATCCTCTGCATACTAATTTTAGATACCAATGTGATTAAGATACATAAACTCAAAGTGCTCAAAGCAATGCCAAACCATCACATTGCAGCACTTCAAATGTATATATCAACACTTTTTTATCTTTACATCAATTGACTGATAGAACAGTGAGTCGTATTTTTTCCTTCACAGCAGGATCACCCTTCTCTTTCCCATTTTGAGCATACATCACAAAACGCACAAATGCATGTAAGAGTACATGTAACACTGCATGTAACAATGAGCTGCTGTTTTTCCATTCCACTCTCTTCACTTACCCTGCACAGAGCCGAGCAATGGCACTTTGTGGTAGAGTGCTAGAGCATGTATAGGTCTACTAGTATGTAGTTGCCTTCATCCCCAACAAACCTTTTGCAGGATTAGTTGGTTTTGGTGCTCTCCCAGCTCAGATCTATGGTTGCTTACTGCATGTATGAATGCTCTGCATTTCCCAGAATGTCCTAGTAACGTTTGCATGCATAGCTCTTGATTTTCTAAAGAGCTGAAATGCTTTACAAAAGCAGCGTATGTATTAGCCCCATTTGGCAGATGGGGACAATTGAGGCACAGAGAAGTTGAGTGACTTGCACATGCTTACAGCAAGTCAAAGACAGAACTAAGGTCCTGTATTTCCTGTTCCCCAGCCCTATTTCCAGACTAGGGATTTCTGTCTACTCTGTAGTCTGCTAGTGGGAAGCTGAAAAGAGCTCTTTCTGGTTTCTATCTGGAAGAAACAACACTGGCTGTAGGAGAAAATCAGAATCAAAATACGATAGTATTTTTCCCCTTCCAGCCATCCTCACCTTCACAGAGAGGACAAAAAGTTTATTGCACTTGAAGAGAATCTGGAAGAGCCTAGTAGTACCTCTGCTACTTCAGTGTCTCAGACATAAAGTGGCTGTGGAAGGAAGTGGAAGAGAGGCTTGTACTCATGGTTAGAAAGGAAGGTAGCTCTCAAAACAGGGCTAAATCTAATTTGAAAAGCTATGTGGAACTATTTCTTCTAATTAGCAACCTGGACGAGTCTATTCACGTCTTGCTGGTCCTGCATGAGTAAAGCCAAGTGTTGTGAGCCATGCTTATTTTTAAAGGGTTCACAGCCAGAAACAAAACCACACTGTAACAATAGTCATTAGAACTAAATATCCATTTCTAAATCAATCCACTGAGCATCGTACTTAAAACCACACGCTAGAGGAATTACCCCACTGCATTACAAATTTCTTTCCCTATCCCAGGAAAAACACGTTGAAACTGCACAATGGGACAGGAAGAGCCAGGAAAGACAGCACTGAACTTCAGCAGAGATGAGGGTTCTCAGGCTAAATAAAAGCAAGAGCTCAGCTTCATAGCAAAGTAGGATGTAGTGTGTTGGTTTTTTTTTTTCGTTTTTAATGTTGTTTTTCAAATGCAGGCTGTTTTCCTGGTGAGATAGATTACAGTGGCAAAGAGAAAAGAATTAAATATGCATTTAACAACTTTTTAAACATTCATCTTGCTTTCCTTTGCCAAACACCTGTAAGCTCTGTCAGGGGTATGAGCACTTAAGGACATCCTGCTGATGCAATAGCTTCATGGCTTTAAAAACACAGGTCCGACTCTCCTAGAAAATGGGCAGACTGGCAACAGTAGCTGTCAGGAGTGACTCCCCCTCTGTCAAAAGGATTTTAATTGCCAGTATCGATGGGACAAACCTGTAGCAAGTTGGTGTAGACAGCAAAGTACCTGTGTAGTTGAGTGTGGTAGCTCTCGCTTTCTGCACTGGTACTTCAAAGTTTTGTCCCATCTACGCCAGCATTTAAATTACTTTCAGCATTCACTGAGGTGGGTACCTAGTGACCAGCCACTCTCCTAGTGTCAGCACAGGGTCCTTTCCTTAGTGTAAATAGACCCTTGGAGGGGGCTGTTTACAGTGCCTTTTAGTTGAACACTTTTCCAGGGTTTTCTGAGGACACAAACTCAGAAAACTTCAGGGTTAAAACCTGACTTTAAAGAAAAAAAAAAAAAAAAAAAGAGAGAGAGAGAGAGAAGAAAAAAGCAGAATCACATCAAATTTTAAGAAATTTTTGTAATGTACATAAACAGAAGTACTCTCTCTTTCTTCCCCACCCTCAAATTAAAGGCATTCAGAAAAATAACATATATATATTTATATATATATATAAAATAAGGTACCCAGAGGCACTGGTTTGCATTAGGACATAATTTCCAGCTAAATTAAAAATCAAATCCAGGCATTCTGAATGCCTGAGAAGAACAAAAGCAGTACCCCAAATCATTAACTTTTGCACTTTTTATAATATATCCCAAACCAGTCAGATTTGTTTTTGAAAATTTTGTAGTAAAATAAAAGTGCTCTTTGAGGAAAATCTATGCAATTAAACAGCAGATGCTTAACCCCTGAAAAATAGAGGCTTATAACAGAAGTGCTGATAGACCCTTAACCATAGCATCATTAGCAGCAGGTGCTGCTAGAGTTATTAGTTTTCTAAATAGTTTTAATGTAAACATTATTCTTAAGCTCTAAGTGTAGCATAAGGGTTGGGATTTGCTCTTTAATTCTTTTTACTAGAAAGATACAGCTCATTTAAAATAGCTGGTAGATACAGAAAGCATAAATATACAGTAAGTTTAGACACTGATTGTACTAAATGCAACAATACAAAGAAGCAAACAGGAACACAAATGGTAACACAATAAAACTGTATTACATTTGTGCTTCAAATATTACAATACATTATATACAATAGTCCAAAATAAACATCTCATGCCAAATGACACAAAAAGAAACAAACAAACAACAACAAAAAAAAAACAAAAATCCCAATAGCAAGCAAAAAGAATTCAGCTGTATGTACAGTACCTTTTTAATTAACATTCAACTCTGAACTGGAGCAATTTTCACTACATACAGATGCAGTCCGCCTTTTATTTCACGCAACCATTCTGTCTCCCTATATCTACGCTATTCAGTAGGTTCCTGTGTCATTTCTTATATACATGTTGAGCAAAAAAGATAAAAGAACTTAGTGCTTTGTATTCTTAATGATGTGGCATCAGATCAGCGAACCTGGGGTGCATAACCTTCTTTCATTAAACCCTCCTCATAGTCTGTCTGGCACAGAATCATGTTGTTCTTCAGGAAAAATTTGTCTCCAACGCAAAATCTGAAATTACAACAAAAGTAGAAAAAAAAAAAAAAGAAGGTAGTTTCAAAATGAATGATACGATGTGATCTTACACGTAAGGAATGTACAACAAGTGTTCACGGTTTTGTTGTGCCCACCACAGGGCTCACACTTCTGCTGTCTGTTGCAGCACAGACAGACACACTGACATAGACATGTATGTGAAAGCCCAGCAGAGACATCACTCTGGTAGCAGAATCAATTCTGGGCTTTCAAGAAACGTGGTGCATGCAAGTGCTTTTGCTTTCTCAGCCAAAGGCTTCATTCAAAGCCCACTGAAGAATGTGGGAGTCCTGGATCAGGTCACCAGCACACAGATAAAACAGAATAAATAGCCAAGGCTACTGAGTTGATTGAAAAGTAAATGTACTGCTTTCACACAAATCAGAAGGAAAACAAAGTGATCATAGACAGTAGAATGCCCATCTGACGTGCATTATATTTATATTGTACAGACATAGCAATAGGAATTTCTTGTTATATTTCAGTTGAATATTTTACTAGAATTGATTTAAACGAGTGTTTATGAGAATCCTTTCTGGTATAAACACAGCTTTATATATATTGTAATGCAAACTAGAGACACACAGGTATGCAGAGAGACCTTTTTTTCCTTTTTTTTTTTTTTCTTTTTTCCCTGTAGGAATTGATTATAAATTTAGTCACTCAGCTAACTACTTTCTCTCTTGTGGTATCAGTATACATAGTTTTATACTATTATGTGCATCAAAATGATCCAATCGCTACAAAATGCTATGAATTATTTCATTTGATTTTCTCTGATGGGTAGGAAAATCACGTAACACTAGCTCTCCTGGCTGTCTGGCTTCAAACTTCGAGCAAAGTAGTATTTCCTAGCTAAGCAGTATGCTTGAGTGTAAGGAGGCTCTTCACAGACACCCCCTCAACCCTTCCCCCCAGCAAAGCCGGTGTTCTTGAGGATGCTTAAGGAACAAGTGAATAGGGCCAATGTATAGAAAAACAGTTTCCCTAGTGACTGCCTTGGCAGGGTTACATTCCTTTGTTTATAGTGAACTCTCCAGCTATAAAATATATTGGGAGGCACTGCTCACATTATTCCAATTAAAATGAAAGAAAGTAACCTAAATGAACCCCTTAACACCGATGTGAATAAATGAAACCAGTTTCTACCAGCTAATTACAGATCTCACTACATAAAGTATTGTTTAATGTGTAACAGATTATAATGTCCTTTTTTGTATAATTTTCAAATGGTGACATCTTGGACACAATTAGGGTCAGATATAAATGCTTGTGTTGTTTACGGTAGATTTAACAACAGAGTAGCTATGGGAATAGCTGTATATGTATTTAATTGTAACAATTTAACCTTCAAATAGTGGTGTCTGCTGTAGTTGACCCAGTAAAACTACGTAAATTACACAAGTTGACCTGTGTGACCTCAGATAGTGGTCTCTCTTTATCAGATAGTCAATTCCTAATGATGTTCAAGCAGAAATCTTGGTGAATTGTCACAGATTAAATTGTGTATTGAAAGCAGTCCTTTAATGTTTTGTGAAGTTGGAGGTTTAAATGAGTAGCAGTTGGACTGATTTACATTTGTGAAGATTGGAATGCTAGACAAACAGTGAACCCATTTATTTTCCAACTGGGTAGCTTTGGAAATTTATCCTTATGCTAGCTAAATAGATAGAGGGAAAATAGTGTAATAAAAAAGTGGATTGAAAAGAATTAGCTCTGCTCTTAAAGGAAAATTGGTTTGTTTATTTGTGGACTTTTTTTCTGTAGGATTACTGCCTGCTGCTGATGATGATTGAAAATAGAGATTATGGAATGATCCCGAAATCTTTAAGTTATTTATGGTCAAGACAGTTTTATAGAATTTACAGGTTCCTTCTGCCCTTCCCACCCCAATCCTGGTATATTAGGCTGCCAACAACAGAAAAGTGTTTTGAGTAGATGTGTTGAAATGAAGAATTCTTAAAGCAAACAAGTTCTTTGGGGGTTTCTCTAGTTTCCACCTTATGCGTTGTTGTCCATCAACAGCACTCTGGACAGGAATTCTTTTGTGCATTTTGTTAGATTAGGTAAAGGAGTCTTAACCTAGTGCTAATAACTAAAAGAGTTTTTTTCTCAAGGAAAACCACCTTAAAATAATAATAATAATAATAATAATAATAATAATAATAATAATAATAATAATAATAATAATAATAATAATAATAATAATAATAATAATAATAATAATAATAATAATAAAATCTTTCTTAATTTCTTTTAAATGAATGTACTGGTTAATATGGACTGAAGCAGAGGGAATGAGATATTGGGGCAAATCAGTGACTCCGTCACAGTGATCCCAACAATTACTGATGAGGTTTGCACCTGAGACTTCCATCCAACTGTCAGCTGGGGAGACAACCACCTCTGCCTGCTCTGCATAACCCACTGACTGAATGACCTGGGAATGTTATTCAGCTACATATTCCTTTGTGATCCAACATAATCAGAATAATTGGTTTAAAATATTTATCCAATGGAAAAATACATTGCTGAAGTGCAATTCACTTGCATGGCAGTACTTTCATGTACAGCTTCTTATGATACTGCTTGAATCAAAATCCTGGCTGAAGCATTTTGTTTTTCAGCCCTCAGAGAAGTGCCACAGTTTGAATTAAACTACAGCAGCTACATGAGGGAGTCAGGACGCCTTTCCCAATAAAAAGTGTCAATGTATTTTGCTTTTGCTATGTTAATATGTCGAGCCAGAAATGCTCTACCTATGTCTACATGGCATTTGACAGCTATATGCATGAGTGGCTTTAAACACACACAGTTCCACAAATCATTTACCTTCCAAGTGTGCAGCTATCTTGCAGAGAGGCTGCCTGTGGCCTGTCTAAACAGGTTTGGCTGTGTGATAACCTGTGGGGAGGGGATCTGTTTGCATGGTAGGACACTCTCTGGGTTCATCTCGGGCTGGGTCTGCATGCTGTGGGTGATCCTCTGTGCCCTTGGGGGCAGCCTGTTACTTGCCATACTTATGGTCCAAATTCTGCACCCGCTTTCACACTGTGCAAGCTCAGTGCCCAAAACACTTTGGCAAAGACCAGCGCTGAGGCTTGCATATGCCCCTGGGTTTTAAATGTGTGAATTATGCATTCGTTAGGTGACAAAGAGGTAAGCACCAGGTGAAAAACATCTATGCTCCTGAGTACAATACGACAAGGCAAGGCGATGAATGAAATGCGACAAATTCTGTCCATCCTGTTCCACACTTTCAACCTTACGTGACTCTGAAGAACAGATTTAGCCTCTTCTGAAGTCAGAGCTAAATCTTACAACTACTTCAGATTGGTTTTGCACACACCAGGATTTAAACCTTGGTCAGGTTTAAAATGGAAGGGTAAATTCAAGCCTAGCCTTCCACCTCCAGCAAGCTTTTTTTGTCATGGAATTGACATAGGATGTAAATCAGGGCACAATTTGGGCACATATATCAAATGGAGTCAAGGAGCATATTGAGATGCAACTGGGTCAGGAGTATATAATGAGGCAAGACTATTACTCTTCTAGCAGGCAGATGGTAGTCTTCAGCCTTCCCTAAAACCCTCGCCCAATTTATTTAATAGGCGCGCAAGATGAACGGGGAAAATATACAATAGACTGCATTAACATGCCAGATTGGACTTACAAGCATAAATTGATAGTACTACTTTTGACATGACTGTGACATTAGTAGAATGACCATTATAATTAAGCGACATCCTACAACTCCTGTCATATTTTACAATGGCAAAAGGAGGGCCATTTATATTATTAAATGACCTCTGTTATCACCTTGTTTGGAGGGGAAGGTGTGCCTAGACTAATCACAAGTAGTATAAAACTTCCATTTTGAGAAATAGCTACTTCATTGTTCAGAACAGACATTTAAGGGGATCTCACTGCTGTCTGTCATCTTTTCTGATGTACAGGATGCATGTCAAGATATTGAAGACTTAGAAAAGTGAGAGAAATATTGCTGTGAACAAAGATGGCTGTGTGTGAAGTGCCTCCTCCGGTAATATCGCAACTTTGTCATTGTAGATGGAAACAAAATCTGGAAGCATCTAGTTGTTTTCCTCTAGGATAAAGAAAGCACAGACTTAGTCCACCCACACCCTTCCACTCTGCTTTTTGCACTCGGGGATGTAACTTGTCTTCTGTTTTTCTTCCTTTCCTGTTTTTTTTTAAAGCCAATTTGTTTCCAGTATAACTCAAATTAATGTTAATCTGTATGCACCAACCAAGAGCACCAAACCACTCTTGTATATCACCATTCATCAGTCCACACTTAGGGTTTACTAATTTTAGGGTTCTGTCAAAAAGTCCGTTTATTATCAAAGGCTGGAAAAGTGTAAGCTATGGCTGGATTTGTACATTTTTACTAGTAAGATGTACTGTATATACACCAGATATATAGTACAATGCATAGAACCAAATAGTTCAACTTACAGCGACAAACTTGGTGTGCTTTTCATGTATTGTTTTTCCAAATGCTAGTATGGTGAATGTATTAATTTTTATCCTGAATTTAGAGGAGGCAGTCAATGAAAATAAACTGTATTGAGGTTTTTAGAATTTATAAAATGAGCACACACAAAAATCTAACATTGGTGGTTAGATAAATACAGCCCTAGCATTACACAGCCCCCTCCCCCCCTCCACATAGACAGAGAACAAAGGCAGCATTGTGTGGGCATTTTACATTTTCTACCAGAGGTAAGTGTCTACAGCTACATCAGGACAGTGATTCGAATGAGTATGTAACTATTTTCAGTACAGTGCCCATTAAAATAAAGGCTGTTTCAGATAGAAGGGTAGAGCTTTTCATTTAAATGCCCCTCAGTGATAGCAGATGGGGGTTTTAAACCATACCCCAAGTTGACTTCAGAAGGCAGACAGAAATTATGGCAGCAGTATGGAACAAGCTGCTAAAGCAGCCGGCAAAGAGTGAAAGGAAGGACACTGAAACTCTGGAAAGTGGGAAAGCCAAAGGCAGGCTGAGATCATCGCTGTAGTCAGAAGTGTCAAGCAAAGGCACAGCTAAGCCCACTTGCAAGATTTTCCACTCCATTTTGCTAGTCACACACATGCAACCTGACAAAGTGTGAAAGGCAGTGTCTGTTTACAAGTTTATTTTTCCAGTGGTTCCCATATATTTTTCCTTTAAATTTTATGCAGAAATCCACTATGTGGGCTACGGACAAAGCGAGAAGAAGTACTTCTGAGGAGAAGTTTAATGTGGTCACAGAAAAGAAAGGGGAGCATCCACACCATTAAGATGATGGTCACTAAGCTCTGCAGGTATTTAAGAGATGGAAAAACTTATATTAGGAAAAAGGTAGACAAAGACATGAAAGATAAAGGGATGCTAAAATGTTTAGGCTAGCAGCAAAGCTTGATAGTCATAAAATCCCTACAATTTTAAGCATTGGTAGAAAGAAAAAACAATGGTGAAGATGTCAAAAACTGGTGTACAGAGCAATTAGATGCTAGAGCTGAATAACTTCATTAAAGGGAAAACATGACATAGTGCCTACTAGATGTGAGGGGACTGGATTTGGTGGCTCAGGAGATCCCTTATAGTTCTGTCTGTGTCTGAAGTCCTGTCTACAGCCTATGTTCTCAGAGTACATCATGTGAGACAACGAGGTTTTCCTCTCACTCTGAAAAATCTAGCTTTGGGAGGCCAATAAAATGGGGCAGGCACCTTACAAGTTAGTTCAGAGAGGGTGTTTATGGCCCAAACAAGAGTCCTCAGAAATCAATGAGTTCTGATTACCATCCACACTGAGACTAGAGCTAGATGGTGAGTTGTGGGTACTCAAAAATAATAAAGAAAACAGTGAAGCTGTGCACGAAAGCAGAAAAATCACCAAATCTTCCTCAAAAAGCACTGATAATAGGCAGGCCCCTCTCTCACAAGGCCATGATCAACTGTTTGAAGGACAGGAATATAAGGGTCATATGATAGCAAGCCTGAAGAGCTGGCTGCCCCAAGGATCAGCGTGATGAAAGTTAATATAATTAGTAGTTAGCTTGGAAGGCAGAGAGCATTAGAAGGAACAACCAGGCACAACATGACAGAAGACATTCACCATGGGCAAACACAAAGTGAATGTAAACTGCAAACTGAAGAAATGATTTAGTCTGCTTATGAATATTGCATATATTGTTACGAAAAAAAAAATCTTAATGGTAGACAAGAAGTGAAAATGTCAAAACTCTCAAATGTAGAACGCAACTGACAGTATTATATGCTTTACAGTAGTGCTCCAGATATAGTATATTTGTGTCAACATGAAGAATATCCCAAAGGATTTAAAATTTAATGGGGAAAGAGAATGTGAAAGTGGGGCATAAGGTCAAAATAAACATGTACATTTGGCAATAGTTGGTGATCTTTGCTAGTTCTGTTGCTGATTTCTGGATATTTCTAATGTGATTGAATATATATATATATATATTCCTCTTCAATAAATAACACATTAGGGGTAGTAGCTGGAGTGAAAATGAGGAGTAGATCTAAGTCAGCTCAAGAAGATTATTTTGCATACAAGGGGCAGCATGGATTAAGAAATAACATTAAATTGCTATGTTGTAAACTGATCCTCATCTGAAATCTGCTGTTTGATTTTCATTGGTCTATTTTAACTAGAGGAAGAAAAAAAGCAGCTGAGAATGGCAACAGAAGTTGTTAATGGCATGATGACTGAAATTATTCAATTTAAAACAAAAGAAAGAGGTTTCATAAAATAATATATAAATATATATGTATAAATGGGTCAGGTGTCCAACATTTGTAGTTTTTATTGTTGTTATACAAGTAATGAAAAACAAAAGATTTAAAGCCGTTTATGAACGAGTGTAGTCAATTGAATGCTTTGCCATAGGAAACACAGAAGAGCTAAGTTGGGGTATCCATGAAATAAAGTTTATTATAAAAAACAACAAAATTAATTCTTCAGTGTGCCACTAGACTCAAATTGTGAGGAAGAAAGGTACCCTACAGGCAGTATGTTTTATTAGGCTCCTTGAGAGCTATTGCAATATAATCAGGATTAGGGCCACTTTTGAGAATTTCTGAAATTCTTTGAAACTTCTGGAACTGCTCTCTGTTTTGAGTAGATGAACTCGATTGTATTTCAGGTAAATCAATTCCTTTGATCCAAGCCTAAGGCTCTCATAAGACTATTTTGGCAACCACTTGCCCAAACTACATGCAAAACAAAAATCAAATAAGAGACTAGATTGAAGGCTCAGGGATGACACGGCTAAGAATTATTAAATGTCCCTGGCATGCTCCACTTCAGAAGCACCTAACAGCACTTCCCCAGTGGGAGTCAGTGGCCTTAGGGCACAGTATGACGCATATTAGCTGCAAAGTGAAATTGTACATTAGTTCACACTTGCTATGGTAAAGGAAGAATATTAAAAATAATCACAACATCTTTGTTTTTTGGGGAAAGAAAAACAAAGTTCACTTCCTCAGATCCAAGAGTACTAACTATGATGAAAATCTTTTGTACTCAGGGTACCAAACACTGTCTGCTTTGCTTGACTGATGAAGATTAGCTGACTTCTTACATTAAAGAAGTTTGTCTTGTATGGGCTGAAGTGACAAGACAATAACTAAGTGCTAATTGTGCATAACCAACACTAAAGATATGCAGTCCCATTATGGCATGTAATAAATGAAGCGAACAACAGAAATATATTAGGCACTTTAATAATGATACTAGAACAGTGGTTTGCAGAAACAAGGATGTGAAGGGTTTAAGAAACGAAATCTAAGCGTGTGTGTGTCTTACTTGAGTGGGTACTACTGGGAGGCTCTGCCTGCTTTACTTGGAATACAGCCTTTTAGTTCTGTGGCAAGACAAAATTGATATAGGACTTTAAATAGCATTAGAACCTATAATTACTTTGCATTATTATATAGTTTAAGCAGTGGTTATTACTTGCCTGGTATTTTAATTTCCCATGCAACATGATGAAAAAGGTCAATTTGGCTTTTTTTTAAAGAGCGTAATTGTAGTGTGCTACACTTATTAGCAGCTGTACATTTTATGGTTCTTTAGGGATGTTTGATTTTTAAATGACTATAGTGTTACAAAATAATACACTGTAGGACAAGGTGAGTTATTAGGAAAGGTTATTTTAGAGCTGTATCTAACTTTGTCGTGTTAAGACTACTATCTTCCTATATTTTTTGTTACATCTCTAGAAATACCCATCTCAGTTTTCTTCCCACTTGAAAATGAAAAAAAAAAAAAGAAAAAAAAAAGGCTATAAAACTCTAAATAGGAATAGGATCATGTAATAATTGAAAAAACATAATGGGTACGTTAAGGAGTGGACATAATTGGTTCTATCTTTTCCTAGACCTCGTAGAAGTCAATGGCAAAGCTGCTAAAGACAGAGTTGTAAATTGGAGTCAGAAACAGAGCTTCTGGTGAAATCTCTAACAGGATTTTGCCATCACTCTGAATGTAGTTACTAAAAGTTGGGCTATATACGCCTCTGAAAAATTTAGTTTTTATAATTTTACCATTTTTGAACTTTGGTCTACAACTGTACCAAATGTGTGACTCCTCAGAACAAAGTGTCAGGTTTGGATCCTCAGATTTCTGTAATTTACAGTTAGGAGGTGGAAATAAAAATAGGGCATAGGAAGTCCAGTGCCACTACAGAGAAAATGGTGGGAACAATGTCTTTTAAATTGAACTGGCTACAGTTCTAGCAACAGGAAGAAACAATACGTAATTTAAAAGAATTATGTGTGACAAAAATGAAGAATTCAAATGAAATTCAGTGACAAATAATAAGGCTCTCTATTCTACAGCAAGGGATCTCAAAGTCTTTTATAAATATTAATTAATTAAACTTGACAGACAGCCTTTCAAAGCAGAGGAAGCAACATTATTCTTGTTTATTGGTGTGGGATTTGAGGCACAAAAAGTTTTCTGGCCAAGGTCATACAAGATGTTCTGCATCAGTCCCAGGAAAAGTATCCATGTCTTAATCTTGGGCTTCCACTACTGGTAGATGTTTCATCTTCACTTGAAAGTATGTCCACACCAGAGCTGAATCAACGCTTAGCATATGGAACAGATCCAAGAAATTCTCTTACCTCTGGTTACAAAGTTGACATGCAAAACAGTCCAGATGATAAACATTGTCCTTAGCTCTCATCACCATCTCAAAAGCAGGTATGAGCTTACTGCAGGCAGCGCAGTTTCCTGTAACACCAAATAACCTGAAGATACAAAAAGAAAAATATTCCTGAAGATGATTAACCGAAAAGAAATCCAGACTTTTTTTTTTTATTCCCCCAGTAGTTTTTTGACAGACTTCCCTGCACACCTCCCTTTGGAAAGGCTGGTGTTTGGTGGTCCAAGTCTGCACAATTTACAATAGAAAGGACTAGTCCCTTTTGCTAGGGAGAGCGTTATGAAGCAGTGACAAACTAATATCACACCTATTGTGATGTTATTCTTCTGCAGGTTATACTGACCTTTCTGGATAAAAGGAACATCTTGTTAAACTAAACAAAGAAATAGTAAACACATTAGGGATGTTACATAACTGTGCGGACAGAGGTCAAGCTGTTTGCATATGTGGGAAGAGTCTTCTGCTTGGATCGTGCCGTACAGACGAGAGTCACATAACCTTGGCTTTTGGTGCTATTTATTATTAAAACACACTTTAGCTAGAAAAGAAATAACACTTGAAAAAGCCAATATTCTTCGCATTTTTGACATCTAGTGCTAAAAGCTTTACCACTATTATTAAAAGAACATTTTATGAACAAGTCATTTAAATCGTCAGAAAGCATTAGCGGTTCATGCACCTTACAACCCTATACCATAGTTATTGCTATGATTATGTTATTCAGGTAGCACATTAAAGTAAATGAGGCTGTAAACTATATATAGTCACATCAGGAGTAGAAGTATAAAATACTGTAAGAACAATATGAAATGCTGTTTTTGCCAGACATCTATATAAATTTTTTCAAATTCTCTTTGTTAAAGATTTTTCAGGACTTTTCAAGTGGGTGTATTACAAAAAAAATCACACATATGCATCCTTTTGTAACATAGATGGATTATAATGAACAAGAAAAAATACGTTAGCTCTACATGGCAGCAATCTTTGAAACTAAGTTTATTTAAACTACTTAATAGTTGTGATGGATTATTAAAAGTAATGCTCTGCTTGTGCATAGCAGTTAATGCTGTTTTTAACTATGAAGCACACTAGATGAAAACGCCACATCTGCCAGTTTTCTTTTTTTCCTCAACATCAGGCTGACAGCAGAAAAATATAATGGCTCTCAAGGGAAACACCAAATTAAAAGCGGTTCTAAACTAATGAATTCAAAGGTGCTCTGTAGAAAATTCAGTTTGGTAACATAAAAATGAATACAGTTTTTAATCACATCCCTCCATTTTACTGAATTTCATGGGTTACCAACAAGCCTACTTAATTCCAAATCCTTTCACCTTCTGCTTCTACTTAGGATGTACTTTCTGCATAATATGTGCCTGTCTATTTTAAAGCTGCAACCCTTTCTCTCCTGCCTGACCTGCTGGTTACCATGATCACTGGGAGAAGGCCTGGGACCAGGCTGTCACCATCATCACCCATTAGACTGACTCAAGTTAACTTCTACTTCCATTAAGCATGATTAACAAAATTATAGATTACTTAAACAGATTTTAAATATTCTGTAAAACATTCAGTTCCAGTTCTATCTCCAGTATGCATGGGTTTTGCCAAGGCTATCTAAGGCCCACTCTGACTTTCATTCCTCTTCTGGATGAAGGACACAGGACTTCATTGCCCTTCACACCTGTGGCTGGTGGCTCTAGAAAAGACAAAACCCACTGACCAAGGCCCAGCTCTGTCTTCCTTCGTGTCTGTATAGAAGCTGGCAGTACTTTAGTTGTACGGGGAAAGCTGATCAGGCTGCAACAGCAGCACAGATGAGAGAATGGCCCCAGTGACTTCAGGGTCGGGACAGAAGGTTCAGAGAGCAGCTTGGCAGTCAGGTAGTTTGTCTCATCCTAATGTCTGAGACACAGCTCAAGCACTTTGCCAGAAAGGATACTGGGTGCAGGCTGCACTGCCTCCTACAGCCATGTCCTGCATATGGGGTGTGTGTCTGTGTGTGTGAGAGGGGAAACCCATTATGGTCAGAACTGCAATTTACATGTTGCAGAGCTGTGAAACAATTTGGGATTGTCATTCAGCAGTGCAAAGGATGAAGATTTACTACCCTGGAGTCCACTATGTGCAGATTTCCACAGTTCTGAAACCAGAGACCCCACGGAAGCTGCTTCAGCTAAGCACCAGATATATTAAAATTTTTCAATTATGTAAAGGAAAGGAGGCCTTCCTTTCTGTTAGTTCTTCCCCACCACATACAAAACAAACACGTGAGATTTATATTAGCTATTGTTAATTTTGGATAAAGCTGTTTATATGAAGAACATAGTTTTCTCCCATTAATTATAATAATAAAAAACCCACCATGCCATTTTGAAATTCTGGACATAGTTTCCCCCAATTTCAATTGCTCTCGCTCCCTGAGCATTTATCAGCTACCTGATTAGAATTTGTTTCCACACAAACCATTGATCATCAGCCTATTACTAGGCAAATGACAGTTAATTACCCACTACATTAACCACTGGGACCTGAGACCTGCTTCTGCTGCCATCAGTCAACATGATAAATGTGGCAAGTTCAGTAATGCATGGCCAGCCCTGAGCTGCCTGCTATAGTGTGAACAACCCTCAATCTCACTTCCAGGCCCAGGAAAATCTATGGCAATCTGCATAATTACAAGCTCTGGGTTAATAACAGACAAATGATTTGTTGCATCTAAACAAAGTCCTTGGAATGGGCCTGGTCTCCTGTGGCTGCCCGGGCTGCTGTTGTGCCACCAGTGTACTTCCCGCTACAACGCACGCAAAACAGATCCCTGACGCTGTATCCTTCCAATTTGTTGCCCTCCAATTTATGGATTCTGCATATGTGATTTTTAATCATTAAAGAACTCTTGAAGCAATATTATCTTAATTATTCTCTGCTGTAACCAGGGAATTAGGCTTCAGATAAAATTTTCTTCTTCTGTGCACTTTCCCTGCCTCGCTGGAGGCTCCATCAGTTTTCATCTACACCTGGACTCTGAAATTCTAATGATGAATTATTGCCCCTTTTCCTAAGAGGGTGAACCTTACAAGGGAACATTTTACTGAACTGTCAGCTCACAGACTGAGTGCGGAGATGCGGAAATCTGATCTAATTTACTGCAAAACGATGCATTTGTTAGACTTTCTCCTCAGTTTTGTCCAAGGAGCAAGAGATCAGTCGGGAGCCACCTTCATGTACTCTTTTGCACCAGCATACGCACACTCAACTCTCCATACATGGTTTTGTTTTCGTCCCCTCTTCAAACCTGTTATACAAGCAAGTTTCTAAAACGAATTTTACTTCTGTAAGGAACAAACAGTTTCCTTACAGCATCTTAGCTGCAGCTGAGGCACTGAGCTATGGCCTCTTGCTTAGTCTGTTCTACCAGAAGACTGTCAAGGATTTCACAGTACACAGTACTCACAGCTGCCTGGTATTATTCTGGGCTTTATTTACCATATTTTCTGTGGTCAGAGAACACTCAAACTCACTATTTTCACATCTACTTACAGGTAGTTACACTGTGACCTAGCTACCTCAGCAGATTAGAAAGCTGATCCTCGCTGATTTCACGTAGCAACAAAAAGAGCTAAAGAACATAAAAGTACAAGGATTTGTCTTTTCTCTTGATATTCTGAACCAACCTCTGAAATTTTATATTTATACTATATATACCACAATGAGATACGAACAATCAGCAACAGCAAACATATTGATTCTTAATGTGTTTGACTGGTACAGAACATCCTGAACAGAGCTAAAAAATGAAAGACATGCAAGAGCCCTTCTACAAACAAACCCAAACCTGACAGCTTGAGCAGCCAAAAGTGTGATTAAGCACCATGCTATTGATTCTACTTTGGTAGGTTTACTAAATAGAAACCTGAAGGTTAAGTACTGATAGATGAGAAAAAGGAAAAAGGAGAGGAAAGAAGAAAAAAAGAGAGGAAAGAAAAGGCAGACAGCTATGCGAAAGTGCAGGGACATTGAATAAACTACACTATACCCACCAGGCATGTGATTTCTAGATGGAAACAATTTAATCACACAGACACCAATTTCTATCCACTTCTACAGATTTTGGGTAAGGCACCGACTATGGAGGGGGGCCCTGGTTCCTCTTGTTGGCTTAGAAATACCACACGGCGTAACCATACAGTTAGGCAGAACTGCACATGCACTTAGATGAAGCTGATTTGGGCCATAACTGCCTGTCAGATTGCATGGGACTTTCACGAGATTTAACTAATGTCATTGGTTACTCTTGTTTCCACAGGTTTCCTTGTTTTGCTGTTTTCTTTGACAATTGTCCTCTCTAGGGGTCATTGATTTGCTACCAACAGCACTTTTTTTGCCTACTTTATTTTTATATTAAAACATTGTACGATTTGTATAAGACATCTGGGTAGCCAGTTTGTAGTAGGAGTATGAATCATCTGTTTGCAAAATGGAAAATGTAGGAGAAAAACATCCAAAGATACAGGAACAACAGAGCAGACATTACATGGAATTTCTCCTGTGGTGCAGTAATTATGGATAGTTTCGCTTGGTTTCAAATTATTTTTCTCGTCATTCCCTCTACCAGGTTAACTAGGTTCATTAGGGAAAAATACATACAGTATCTGAGCTCTAAACCAGCCTTTGCCACTAACTGATTGGGTGACCCTGGCAACTCACTTAATTTTGGTCTCAATTTATTTGTTACAAGGAGGTGAGACCTAATCTTCACATTGTAATATACCATTTTTATAAAAACTGAAATGGTACTTTCAAACCGCTGTTCTTCAAAGTCCAGGAGGTATCAAAATAATACACATACTGTTTTAAATGTAATCAGACATGCACTGAAACAGATAATCAGCTTTTTTTGTCCTAGTAGTTGTGTGTATTACTCAGGATTTCAATTCAAGCTGCATGTACTGAAAGGCAGAATTTGGCCCTCAGCAAATATTTCAGACAGCACAAGATTCTATTTGGAGAAGCATAAAACCACATAAAAGAACCTAAAAGTTAATGAGAGAGGGAGAGAAAATTATCTAAAGATCTAGATTACAA